TTATTCAATAAGAGGGCCCCGGCATGGCCAGGTGGATAAGGCGCTCGACTCGCAATCTGAGGGTCGCGGGTTTGAATCCCCGTCCCACCAAACATGCTCGCCCTTTCAGCCGTGGGGGCGTTATAATGTGACGTTGGTAAAAGAGTAGGCGGTTGGTGGTGATGACCAGCGCCTTCACTCTAGTCTTACACTGCTTAATTAGGGACGGCTAACGCAGATAGCCCTCGTGTAGCTTTGCGCGAAATTCAAAAACAAACTTCTGTAAGTTCGTCCGTAGGTTAGGCATTTATTATCGATCAAAAGAATTTATGTTAAACGTTGTTACTATTGGTATATTGGGCCTACAGTAGTTTCACATTCTATAGTTGGAGAGTTTACTTGGGAAGCTAGAGCTACAAATTGCGTCATAGTGAACGTAGCTTGTAACAAACATTACTGAAGAAATAAATTAATTCGTTATCATTAGGTTGAATTGACTTTACATTATTTTTACCAAATAATTCATAAAGAACCCACCAAACGGTAGAACACGTTACAACCAATATTATTTTCCTTTTCGGTGTTTAATATATTCAGCTTGCGCCACCTTTTAGTTGCGGCATTAGGTGAAAGCGAGTATACTGATGATGATGTCGGAAGTAACGGAATCGTCATCGAAGTAAAAGAAACATTATATATGCAATATCCAAGCTGACTTATATTATTTTCCAAACAAGGTAAAATTTCTAATTCTGCTATCAGTCTGAACTGTTAAACCTTATTAGTAAGTGTGAGAATTGAGATATAATTTAATTATAGCTACTATTTCTAGCAATAGGCCCAACTATCAACTAGTATCTCTTCAGCGAGAAGTTCTGGCAGTAATTGCGACAAGAACATCTAATCTAAACAATAATATAAATATAATGAAGTGAAAAAACATTTAGCGCCATTATCGGCAAATTCCTGTGGGGTTTAGAACCAAAATCTACCTCAAAATTAGCCCAGTTTCTTGTAATTGAAACCAAGCTTCATATAAACAAAAACGAATGAAATTGAAATGAAAAGACACCCAGAGTAAACTAACTAACGCTCTGCGGAAGTCTTAACACCAGTGCGTATGCGCAGTAGGAATTTGGCCATGAGCAACATGACTTTATAATACTCGGGACGTCATTCCCTTGTTACCAGAAGGTTTTAAAGTTTCTATGCAGCAGGGAATCTGCAAAAGTTGCAGTCGTAGGTGATATGTCTTATTTAAATAAATTGTGGTTGTGTTATTTACTTGTAATAAAATACAAACAAACATTAAATCTAGTCTAAAAAGGTTGCTATCTGTGACTGTCTTTTTCCCAGTAACCCAATTCTGCACACTATATCTGTAGTACCCCGAGTAAATGAGGTATTTCATCAGATATCCTAGATCATCAGCCCAGCTGAAGTACAATGAGCACAGTAGTGATTCAAATGCTACTTATAGTATCAAATTGAATGAGCAACAACTGTTATGGCATAAACTAGACTGAGTTTATGATAGTGCTAAAAGTAAAAAGCTGTGACTAAGGATTTGTCAACTGTAGTAGGCAGTGGTCTGAAATACATTAACTGATGTGTAAACAAACACTGTAATATCATCGAAAAAAATGGTATATATTTATATGCTCATTATTATCTGTAATTCCTTTGAGTTTAAAAGTAAAAGGTAATGGCTATTTATACATTTAAAAAGAGTCACTTTCAAGTTAAGGATTGGTTAACACTTACGTAAAATAATGCTTTGTATTAGTGAAAACATTTTTATATGATGGTGTTACCCATAAAAATTATAATTAGAAAAGCTAAGATCCCTTAAATTGTTTTTTGCTTAAAAACAAAAGATGAGATAGAGGGGATCTGATTGAGGTGATCAAGATTGTTAACAAAGTTATTAGTGTTGATGATCATATTTTTTTTACATTTTCAGACTAAGACATTTAGGACTAAGAGCGACACATAAATTTTAGCAGGATAAAAGTCCTCTTCAGCTAAGAGTCTGGTTTATTTTAACAGGGTGGATAGCATTTGGAATGGGTTGCCTTCAGATGTGGAAGAAGCAATTTATTTAAGGGAGTTTAACGAGAGGCTTGATAAATATTTAAATGATAATGAAGATTACCATCAGGGCCTTCGTCCTGTTCTTTGTATAGGTCTGACAACATATATTATAGGAAGATTACCATCAGGGCCTTCGTCCTGTTCTTTGTATAGGTCTGACCACATATATTATAGGAAGCTTACCATCAGGGCCTTTGTTCTGTTCTTTGTATAGGTCTGACCACATATATTATAGGAAGATTACCATCAGGGCCTGTTCTTTGTATAGGTCTGACAACATATATTAT